TTTTTTTTTTTTTTTTTTTTTTTTTTTTTGCATTGGGGATTGTACTTGGGACCTTGCACTTATGAGGCAGAAGGCAGAATACAGTGAATAGTCTTGATTGTTTCCCTAGGGAAAATTCTTAGACATGGAATTTAAATTAACACTAAAGAAGTTGGGCCAGCTTCTTATTTCTACAGCTGTAAAAGAAAATACCCATTTATTTCTTTCCACCTTTGCTGACACTTGGTGTTTTCTCTTTATTTTCTTCCTGTGAAAATTATAAGCACAAAGTTGAACACCTGTGTACTTATTGGCTGGATCCAACTGATAGCATTTTGTTATACTGTTTTATCCACCTTTTTTTTTCAGTACCGGCGATTGAACTCATGACCTTGCACTTGCAAGGAAGGTGCAGCACCACTAAGCTAAATCCCCAGTCTCTACTGTTTTATCATACTTCATCTTATTATCATTCTGTCTTGCTATTTGACATATTACAAAGCAAATCATCTATGATGTAGTACATGTCTATCTCATAGTTTCAGCATGCATTGCCTAAATCTTAAATGGGTATTTGCTGCATTGTAATAAAGCATATGTGTAGGTGATTTTTCAGTGGAGACAGTATTCTGTAAGCTGGGCACAGTAGTGTCCCTATAGTCCTACCTACTTAGGAGGCTAAGGTGGGAGGCTTGCTTAAACCCAGGGTTCAAGGCCAGCTTGGGTAACACAGTAAGAGCTCCATCTGATAAAACAAAGTCAAGTCATATAAGAAATAAACTCAAGTGCAATACAGAGGATTGCTGTGTTGTGTTGAGTTTCTGTGACACAGTTGTTTTAGAATAAGCACATATTGCTTCTTTTTTTGGTTTGTTTTTTGTTTTTGTTTTTTTTTTGGTATCAGGGATTGAACTTTGTGCTTGCGAGGCAGGCACAGTGCCACTGAGCTAAATCCCCAGCCCAAAGAAGTGTTGCTCTTTTGTGGGTGGAGGGTTACCGGGAATCAAACTCAGGACCTTGAGCTTGCAAAGCAGGAGGCAGAACCACTAAGCTAAATCCCTGGCCCCCAAGTGTTGATTTCATACTCAAGAAAACTAAACATTAAGTAAATACAGAGAGACAAACAAATGTAAGAGATTATCCTCATAGGGTATATAAAATATGCAGAAAAAGTAAAGAAGAAAGGAAAACACTCAGAAATTCACACTCCAGAAGCAATTTGCATGTTTCTTTTACAGTTCTTTGGTGTTTAGTCTCCTTTCAGGGGGCAGGTGGGAGAAGTATTGTTTCAGAAGCTTCTGAAGGATAGGGCTGGGGACATCCCTAGCACTTTGTAGAGCACTTGTCTAGCATGAGCCCTGGGTTTGGTCCCCAGCATTGTGAAACAAAAAATCAACCTACAATAGGAGTCAGAATACTGGAATCTAGTTCCATAATCGATACATATTCCCAAATTATTTTTTCTCTATTTTAGATTTCTCTTGTAGAAAATATTGAGGAGAAAAAGTATTTGTACTTTAAGGTGATACATGAGAAAAGTTTTGACAGCTATGTGTTGTTTGAAACCATAGGTAGATTTTATAATGGAACTTGGTATGCATTCCTTGTATACTGTCAGAAAGCTACCTGCATTTTCTTCTTTCAAACCTAGTGATAGAAAAACTAGGATGCTAACTAAAATTGGAAACTATAATGAGTCTGACTTGGAGGTAGGGAACACCTACCCCAGTGTAACACATTTCAAACATAATCATCATACCTTTGGTCAGCTGGAAGTGGGATGTGAGATGATATGCCCTTTCTTATTTATTTTTCTGGTTAGTAGAAATACGTAATAATTCCTAGGTGGTATGTATTTTGCTTTGTCGAGTATGAGTTATGTCTGTTTTGAATTTGCCTATTTCATACTTGAAGTTTTCCAGCTTAATTTTTTCTATTTTTAAATTTCTCATCTTGCAGACCCCTTCCAGTGCCAAAACTGCCACCTGGGGAACGGGGTGAGAGTGAGGAGGACACAGAGTATATGACTCCCTCGTCTAGGCCTGTAGGGCTTCAAAAGCCAGAGCTGAAATGGCCTGCAGAGACAACTCAGAGTTCACGGTGGGTTCACAACAGCCCTGCTTGGGGCCAGATACTTTTCAGTGGGTTATTCAGCTGATATTTGTCACCTGCTTGGCTTGCACGCACAATTATCCAGCCAGAATTAAAGAAGAGAGATAAAGTCTAGTCCCTATGTTTAAGTCTCTTGTAGTTGTGAGAAATTCAGCTTATGTTTTCTCAGCAACAGCGACCATCAGAATACACACATCTGTAACTTGTCACAAGAGGCGATCTTATAATGTTTGATTAGTGGTAGCGGCCCAAGAAGAATGTGTTCCTGAGAGAATCAGGGTCTAGTGTAGTTGTGAGCAGATAAGCCTTAGTAAGTTTACAGGTAACAGAGTTCTCTGTTTCTGAAGATCATTGTGCTGCTTTCCTTCCGGTTCAGAGTGGGTGATTGTGACCAGCAGATTGATAGTTGCACATATGAAGCAATGTATAATATTCAGTCCCAGGCACCATCTGTCACCGAGAACAGCACCTTTGGTGAGTAGCCCTCTCTGCTGTTTAAAAAATTGTTGATGTGCCATAGGAATAAGCCTGTAACATTTGTTTTGTGAGATCACTTTACCAAAGGAGAAAGTCGTTGTCAGTAATCTTTGGTAAAATATCTTTGATTCATGGTCAGGATGGTGTCTCTCTCCCTTTTATTTCCTTTTCATACAGCTAGTTCCTTTTGTGCTTTTTCATCATCCCAGGCCTGGAGACATTTATGTTACATGGCTCAGACGTGCAGTTCTGGAAGCTCTCTTTTATTCTATTGCATTGATGAAATTCTTCCGTGTGTGGGTGGTGCATACTCAGTTCCCATGATGACAAGCTTCCTGAGTTCAAGGAGTCCACACACACAAGATCCTTTGGTTGATCTCCTGAGGTGAAACATAGATAGATGTGCTATCAAATGGCACTTAGATCTTTGCCTCTGAGAGGTAGCTGTCAACCTTGGCAAGAGTAACCTTTGACATATTCCACAAGAGAGCTACAGGTTTGGCACAGATGTTATTTTCTGTTTCTTTTAGTTCCATCCACAGGGCCTCCTCACATGGTGTTTGGTCCCCAGTAAACTTTTGAGTAATGGTAGCCTAGAGGAAATGGTTGTATGGATGCCCCTGGACTGCTGAGGGGTGTTAGAAGATGAGGTATGTCAGGAGAAGAAAAGAAGAAGATAACGTGCTCTTGTTGCTCCAGGTGAAGGGAATTTGGCTGTAGCCCACACTAACACTGGCCCTGAGGAATTGGAAAATGATGATGATGGCTATGATGTCCCTAAACCACCGGTACCAGCTGTCCTAGCCCGCCGAACTCTCTCAGACATCTCCAATGCCAGCTCTTCCTTTGGCTGGTTGTCTCTGGATGGTGATCCCTCAACAAGTGAGTCTGAGGCTATCTTGCTCTTGACCTGAATGCTTTCTTCTATTTTATACTAAAAGAGGTGACATCCTCTGGTGGCACAAGTTAGTAGGTGGGAATAGTAGGCTAAGTGTCTAAATGGGAGGAAAGCTACTCCTCGGTCCCAGATTATGAAATCAAACTGTGCTCAGACTCTTCAGACTTAGAGATGAGGTTGTCCTTAAACTCTGGCTTCTCTCCTGCTGGGTAGATTGGGTTTTGAGAACTTCTGAGTATGCCTTACAACAGTGCTAATTAAGCGGTGGTCCAGACTTTGCATTCCTCTATTCTGCACCTTGTCCTGCTGGAAAGAAGGCAGGCTATCCTGGAATGCACAAGGAATGAGCCTGGAGCCAGCCTACATTGGGCCTGGACTGCTGGGGGCTGCCCTTCTTGCACCTGTGGCTGCCTGGTAGGACAACAGACAAAGTAGCTGTCACTTTGGAAATTAAAGACAGTTATCAGGACAGCTGATGGGAAGATCTCCAGCATCTAGTTGCCCAGATAGGCAGTAATCTCCACCCATCCTGGTTTGGGGCTTCTACATTACAACTTAGGCTATTTATCTGCTTCTTACTTTTTTGTTTGTTTGTTTTTTTGTTTTTTGAGAAAGGGTCTCACTATGTAGTTGAGACTCACTGTGTAGCCCAGGCTGGTCTTGAACTTACAGCGACCCTCCTGCCTCAGCCTCCCGAGTGCTAGGATTGCAGGTGTGCACCACCACGCCCAGCTTCTTGCTTCTTATGTGTAGGAGTTTAATATCTTCTGATCACCCCAGAATTAAAAAGTAATAATAATCCAGATGACTGTGTGTATGAAAATATGTCACTCAGGATAAAGGATAATACAGATGTTACATGTTTATCATAGCAACAGTTACTGTGAATAGAACAGGTGTGTAGTATATTTAGAAGATGGCTCCTACTATAAGGAGGAAGCTAGATTCAAAAGCCCTGTAAACCTCTAAAACCCAGCCTTGTGACAGAAAAGTACCAGTCCCCAATTACCAAAACGTGAATTATGTGTTGATAAGCAGCACATTGTTACTACTTTTGTTACTGCTGCTAAGTGAAGATTTCCCCCAATATTTTCTTTGCAATTTCTTCTAGATTTTACTGAGGGTTCTCAAGTTCCTGAGCGGCCTCCAAAACCATTCCCTCGGAGAATCAACTCTGAACGGAAAGCAGGTGGCTGTCAGCAAGGTGGTGCTTCTGCTGTGGCGACCCCTGCTGTTACCCCATCACCACAGCTCTCCAGTGAGATCGAGAACCTCATGAGTCAGGGCTATTCCTATCAGGACATTCAGAAAGCTTTGGTCATTGCCCACAACAACATTGAAATGGCCAAAAACATCCTACGGGAATTTGTTTCTATTTCATCCCCTGCTCATGTTGCCACCTAGCACATCTGTATCTGCCATGGCTACGAGGATCCAAGAGCTGGGCTCTTGAGGAGCACGTAGGAGGGCAGAAGCTCCTTTGGGGACTTCACTGTGAGGTCCTGCCCTCTCTGTGGGTATCATACCGTGGTCCCAAGATTTCAAAGCAGTGGAATGAAAATGGAGCAGCTAATGTGTTTTATTATTGTATTGTTCTTGAAGGTGTCCATCAGTCCCTGCTTGGAGAGAGTATAGATTTTTATTACATGGTAGCCTACCTGGGGAACAGTCCAGAAAGCAGTAGAATAAGTATTGTGCTGTAAACCCTAACTGAGGACTTAACACTTTCCTTAGTTAAGGATGTGTTCATGTCTGTCTGTCTGTGGTTGTGTGTCCTGTGATGATAAGATTATCCTGCTGTGTGTGTTAATCCCAAGTGGGGAATTAGCGCAAGAGGTTCAGGAAGGAATCTTTTAAAGACTTCCATCTACTGTGGTATTTCACCCAACCCTAATGTGTATTACAACTTCAGCACTCCCCTTTGGCTTAGATTGTCATGTGCATAGCTAAAGTCTTATATTTTTTAGAACACTGTCCTGTCCTTTACCCTCTTGGCCCACCCTCAGTGTTCTGTCGTTAGCAGTGCTTGCTGTGACCAGCCTTACAGAGGCCACACCGTAATGAGATGTTCAGTATTATGTGTGATGGTGTTGGTTGGCTTGGTAGAGATAGATAAGAGAGAAAGTACTGTTGCTGTGTCATTGTAGTCATGTTTGATACTAGCAGCTAACACTGGTCACTCCAAAGTATTGTTTCTATAGGAGCATTGAATTTGTTAAAATAAGATATTTGAATTATCCTAATTATAATGACTGATTTGAGATAGAGGCCTTCAAATACATTCCATGTCCTCCCCAGAAATTAGTCTGTGGGAGTCTGTTGCCTTGATGCCAGGCATGTGCTCTGGTGTAGGTCATGAGTGTTTCTATTTAACGGGAAGAGATGAACATGTTTCCAGGATAACTTTCTGGCCCAAACACCATGAAGCTTTTAGGAAATTTCATTTATATGTTATTTAGATACACAAAATAGACCATAAGGATTTATCTGTTCAGTTTTTATTTCTAGTTAATCAGTTTCAGCTTATATGGGTATCTCTTTTGAACACGAGCCAGATTAGATTTTCAGAAATGACTTTTTATTTGCCCTTTAAAGTATGGAGATATTACTGGTGGTAGCACAGCATTTTGCTGATTTATTAGCACCTTTTCTACATTGGTGCTATCCAGTGACTTGATTTTCTCTTGTGCCTCCGGCTTGGGGAATGGAATGTCGCTTTCCTCCCTTTCTTGCCTTTTCCTCTTCCCTTTAGGTTCAGTGTATACTGTGTTTTTTACTCATTGAAATAAATTACTCTAGTCAAAGACAGAATGGGAAAAGGCTGGTGGTTTGTGAAATTGCAAGTTTATGAAGACGATTCAGAGTCCAGTTGGGAGACCCACTTGCCAGATCTGTAGATGCTGCCCCATGGGCCCTGGAATTCAGTTTCTTCTCTGTCTGCAGTCTTTTACTGACTTTCCCAGCAGTGTGCATTCCTTCTTCTTGTCCGAAACAAACGTGCTGTTTGCGAAATTACCTTCCTCAAGATATGGTCCAGGCAGAAATGACCCTCCTAAAGCAGCTTTCTTTCCAGTTGTGTCATCCTTGGAACTAAAACCCTTTCTAAATCTTCTCATGGTATCCATATACTCCATGATCTTTGTGTTTTATCCTCTTGCCCTCAAGCTGTTTATATCCCAAAGCAGACAATACTGGGCCTTGTGATGACTTACTGTGGTTACCTAGTGTCATCTCCTGTCTCCACTACAGTGGGGAGGAAACAGCAAAACCCCCAGTGGGTTCAGGAGGTCCTGCATTGGGAACGAAGGAGGTGAGGAAAGGGGTAGCAGATAAGAACAGTAGTCTAACATCTACTCCTAAAATCTGGTAGCATTCCGTTTTGCATTTTGTTTAAATATTGAAGGCCTAGACGAACTAGGAGAAGAAAAATGCCAGGAGTTCCCAGGGCTATCCAGATTATAATATTTTTCTCTATAGATATTAGCTGTAGTTTGAAGATCTGTCAAGAAAACAGAGCTCTGGCTGCATCTCTTCTGCCTGTTCAGTGCATTCTCGTCGTCCATGAGATTATTGTCCATACTGGCCAGGCTGAGGGTTTTTTTTCCTTCCTCTCCTGAGCACCTTTGTGACTCTTTGGTCAGCTTTGAAACTGACAGTCCAGGTCCTTGTGTTGAGCTTATGCTCACTAATGGGCTTGGGTAGTAGTTTGTCAGGTGAATATTGTAGGTGTTCAGGGTTTTGGACCATCAAATTATGGCCATCCTCTGACTAGGGCTCAGAGGACATACCAGGTCTGGGCTGGAAATTGCTACATAACCCTTATTTAGATAGTCTCAAAAACCTGGATTTTTAAATTTTCTTTTGACTGAAGCATCTATTCTTCATCTTTCATTTGTATTCTGATTTTTTGGAGGGTATAGGGGTGGTACTGGGGATTGAGCACAGGACCTTTGCATTGAGCCATATTCCTAGCCCCTTTTTAAATTTTGAGATGGGGCCTTACTAAATGTAGGCTTGTTTGAACTTGTGGTCATCCTGCCTCAGCCTCCTAGAATGCTGGAGTGATGGGATTATACGTGTGTGATGCTGTGCTGGACTTATATTCCAATTTTTAATTCTTCAGCTCTGATCTGAATTTAATTAAAATTGCCATTTGTGAAGAGGCTTTATTTTCAGTTTTGTCATTTTTGGCAAGCCCAGTCCCCTGACCCCACAAACACAAATGGTTGATATGTTCAAGAAGACCACATTAATTTTTTTTTAACATTCATTAGGCTGTTTTATTGACCCAATTTTCTGTTTTCCCCGTGTCTTTTGTATGTTGTGTTGCATAACCTGCCTCATTGCTAGGTTGCTGTCCTGCACTTCTGCAGCTGACTCTTCTACTCTCCTGTTAAAGTCAAAGTTCTCAAAGTGGGCTCTGAGATATACTTCCCCTCAGTTAAATAGTTCAATTAGGTAGATCATCATCTCAGCATTTACCTATCATTATTTAATACAGTAGCGATCCCTGGCTGGGGTTAGCCATTCTTTTCCCTTCTTACTAGCCTCATCACCAGGGCCCATGATGTGGGGCAGTACTGTTAATATTCAGCAATTTTTTTGGATTTAAAAATTGAGGGTGGGGAAGGATTGCTATTGTTCATACTTAAAGTATTTATTTCCTGTGTAGGAAAGTAGAATATGTTTTATGGTGGAAGTGGCAGACTTACAAATCAGTTCTTACAACACAACTTGCTTGCAAGCTAAGGACCAGCTGCAAATTTTCTCTAAGGTACAATTACCAAAATCTAGTCTTTTTCTGGTAAGTGACCAGCAGTGTATTAGTGCAGAATATTCTCCTACCTCACATCATGAAAGTCAAAAGGTTATTGCCCTTCCCGAACTTCCCTTCTTGCTTGTTGGCCTTTTTGACTACGAATGACCACTGTCTACTGAGTAATAATAGTATTCTGACTATTGGCCTAGCCATAGCAGTTTGATTGTTCTTCATTCAGCAGATGTTTGAGTGAGTACATGTGCCAGAAAGTCAGCTATATGTCCTTCCTTGCTGCCACAGGGGATTGTATTTGGACTGTACAGTACTTTCATTTGACCATAAAATAATTCTTCCCAAAAAGATTATACAGTTTTTATTTACAGCATTTTTATATGACTTGCCTGTCCTTACTGAGCTATCTGGCTGAAAATTGGTCTGAGACTCCCCTTTAACCCCTGTTGTCTTCTACAGCTTTGATAATGTCTGAGAGATTCTTTGGTCAAAGCATCTTGAACACCCACCTTTGTTACATATTTCAGTGGGATTTGATTAGTGGATTGAGAGATATTTGTGCTTAGAGTTGCACAGTTGAGCATTAAATGTTTAAGCAAAGCATCTGTCTGCAGTCTACTTTTCAAGCTAGTATTTGCCCACAGTTCCCTTTTTGGTATAGTGCCTTTTTTACCTTTTTACTGAGCTGCCTGTTTTCCTAACCCCATTAGAAAGGGTTTTTCCCCCCTTTGAGGCTTGTTGCTATTCTGTACTATTTAGAATTTGTTTTCCTGCCCTTCAGTCTTTGAAGCCAACTCAGCCTCAGATGGGCTGGAGGGACTGGGAAGGGGAGGGCCCTCATCTTATATGTCCTAATCTGTAGTCGGTTAATTTGGTTTTTGAAGACTAGTCAGTAGTATAGACTGGACTTTAGCAGTGGTGTTAGCCTCTCCTCCCAAAGTGGGGAGCTCAGAGTTTCCTGTCAACGTGTCATCATTCTTCTAAACCTTAAAGCTTTGAAATTCGATTGGAAGTATTTTTAACTGCATAAAGCATTAATTATTGTTACTACCCTGACACAATACTGGTTGTTGAACTCAGAGCCTTTGCACTGAACTACATCTCCAGTCCTTTGAATTTGGGTCTTGCTAAGTTCATAAGGCTGGGCTTAAACTTGCAGTCCTCCTGCATCTGGCCCTCAGAGTGCTGGGATTACAGGCCTGCACCGTTGTGCTCAGCTTTAGCTCTTGGGAATGCACAGTGTCATTTAATGCATGAAGGAGGGCTAGTGGAGGAGCCAGGTCAGGCCTGAAGCTGTTTTTTGGGTTTTTTTTTTTTTTTTTTTTTTTTTTTTTTACTGCAGAAAATTATTAGGGGTAGCACTATAGTACATAGAAGGGGAGGAAGCAGGATCAGGTAGGGGAAGACTCCAGACCATAATGCAGATCTAACACCATTTCTTTTTCTTTGGTTCTTTGAGACAGTCTTGCTATGTAGCCCAGGCTGGCCTTGAACTCATGGGGATCTTCCTGCCTCAGCCTCCCAAGTGCTGGGATTACAGGTGTACATCACCATACCCAGCTCTAATACCATTTCTATCACAGTAATCACTGCCTCCTGACCATCACCAAGGGTTCTCTTCATGTTAATAGTTAATGATCTTTTTCTTTTCCTTTTTTCTTTCTTCCATAGGAAATAAGCTGTGGTTCCTAGGCACTGCACCAAGCCTGGATCAGTGATCAGACCTTAGAGGGCGCTCTCTGCCTGGTTCTCTTGGCACTGGATCCGCTCTCATACCCCCTGGTGGACTCTTGGATTCTCTTGGTTCTTAGAACCTTGAGTATCTTTTGCATAATACACAGTCTAGTATCTGTAGATGGACTTAACTTGCAGCTGCCTTTTCTGCATTTCTTGAATCATTTGCTTGTAGTTCCTTCTTTCTTCAGTAGCCAGTTTTACTTTTTCCTCAATCAAGATTTTATTTTTAAAACTCTCCTAATTAGAGATCCTTTAGATAAAAGAAATACTCAAGCTAAACAAAGTAGGGCATCATTATAAGGGTACAGGGTCTTTCATGGAACCCAGAATAGGAAGAACAGTTGACTTGTGCATGGTGCTGGGACTGTAAATCTTTGCAGTTAGTCTTTCCTCCTGCTTCAATTTCTGTTTGCATATATGACACCCACCTAGGCATCCCAGCCCTCTAGTTCACTCAGCCTTCCAGCTCTAGGACCATCACACAGATCCCCAGTTCCTCTTAGTTCATATTTTTAGGAATGCATATGCTCAGCCCACACATTGATCAGAGTCCCTCCCAGGCCACTTGGCCTCTCAGGGAGGGAAGGGAGATGTGGCAGACCAGGAAGCAGCAGCACAGTCCTTTAGCTGGGAGTTGGGAGCCTCTATAGACTCCATAGACCCTCTAAGAGGACTTCAGCCCTAGGAGTAACTGCTGCCGCCCTGTCTTTTAGAAGGCAGGCATGTCTGTGCCTGGGTCATCAAGGAAATCCTTAGGTCATTGTCATTGTCTTTGATTCCCCCCATGTGAATCTTGTCATCTAAGATTTCTCTCCTTGAGGACACTTGGGTCTGTTCCCAGCTGACATTTCTTAGTCTCCATTTAGCTTCAGGTTTTTAGTCTTCTTTCCTGTCATTTAGAGAGAAGATCATAGATTCCACTATAGCCACTACCTTTGGGCTCCTGTGCTCTCTTCAGAAGCCTGTCTCCTGTAGCCCTCATCTACTCTTACTAGTTCTCCTGGACGTGAGAGCTCTGAAGTAGTGTGCTTAGTTTTATAAGAATAGGTAAGAATTGGGGCAGTTGGCAGGATATAAACTGGGGGTCTCGTATAGAACAGAGTTTTTATTGCATATCTTTCCACTCCAGTCTCCCAATCAGCTGCAACTGCCACAGTGCCCAGCATGCCACCATGCCTAGCATTACTACACATCTTTAGACAGGCTGCCTGTATTTTTCCTGTCCCCTTTTGTTTTGGTCCTCTATCAGGTGGGTTTTTTTCCCCCCTTCCTTCCCAGCTATGCCCATCTTTGGATCTTTATCCCATTCTAGGGCCTGTTCTGAGTTTTAAGGCATTTTGTACTGCCTTGCTTATAACTTTTTTTAAACTACTAAAGTCATTTGATAAACACAGAAGTAACCTAAGAATCCAAAGATATACATCAAGGCACATAGGAAGGGCAAGGCATCAGACTTTCCATTTGATGGTCTAGTGTAGGCTTCTGAGTGAAAGAGCAGAGAGGCAGTAAGTAATGCTATGTGCCTTCACAGTGTCCCAGGAAATATGTGCTGGCTTTAGGGGGAATTGCCAGTATTTCTCGGTTCCAGAAAGTAGTGCAAGAGTAAGAGATGGGGAAATAGGGACAAAGGAGCACAAGATTTGCACATATCTTCCAGGTCAGATAGAAATTGCTGTGTGAAAGAGCCAGCTGTTGACTCACAGAATAGCAGCTGTTTGGAGGTCTTGCTGCCCTTTCCCTAGTATTGTGCTTGAAAAAATGTGGATGACCACTCCCTATGCTTGTACAGAGACAAGGCCAAAAGCGAACATCACATCTACTGATCTGGCAGCTGAAACAATCAGCAAAGTTCTGATCACTTGATCCCATATTCCTGATTCAGCCCCCAAAAATGAATGTGAGCAGTGGTCCTCCACATTAACTGGCCCATGCTTTCCTTCTAGCCAGGAACCAGATGCGAGGCCACAGATGCCTGCAGCTCCTTGGGCCTTGCACTGCTTCCTTGTGCAGGACCTGAGGTGGGGTGTGCTGGGGTCCTATGTGTCGCTTTCTTCCTTTCTACCTACCTCGACCATGGTAGGTGAAGGTAGTTAGGCCTGAAACTGAAGGTAGTGGCTGTCCTGAAACTAAAGAGGCAGAGAATACTGAGGAACCAGTAGAGCACATGTCCTCTTCTGTGGCCTCTCACCTGCTGTGTGATGAGTGAGCCTGCACAGTGCCCAGGAGAGCAGGTGCCTCCTGACCTACGCTGCTCAGCACTACTGGGGTGTCTTGGCCTTGAATGACAAGCCTAAGTTCCTGCTGAAACATGTGGTAGGGCCTGGCAGCCACGAGGTACCTCTTACATCTGCTTTCTGGCTGTGGTGACTTGGCTCTTTTAACCTTATATATCTTTTTTCCTTTATTCAAAACAAAACAATTTTTAGCACACTGGGAAAAAAAAAAAAAAGCCAAACGTTTTGTGCCTTTCTAAGGCAGCACTGTATCCCAGGCTGCATTTTAGGACTTAATATGGAAACACCAGAGTCTGAGCTCCTCTACCTTGAGTATCCTGACTGTAGAGTCTTGGGGATGGGAAGGAATCCTTCTGTGGATGGAGAGGTGGCACACAGGTACAGTGTGGTCCTTTTCCCCTGTGAGGTTTTGCTAGAGAGAAGCATTGTACCCTGGGATCATCTGGTTGGTTCCATTCAGCAGCTTAATTATCAGATTGGATATTTTGTCCCCTGTAGGAGACTGAATGTCCCACAATTTCTAGGTATATTCTAGACCATCCCCCCCGCATGTTAATGACTGGTGCTGGAGAAGTGAAGGGTGTGGTCTGTCGAGAGTGGGAGGTGGGTCCATTGCCAGCACCAACCTCTCTCTCAGACTTGCTCTCCTTTCATTTGAGGCTTCAAACCTTTAAAGCATTAAGCAGCCAGTGCCCTCTAACGTGTCTCGTTTTCCCTGGGTAGGGGCAGCAAGGAACATACACCAGAAGCCTATAGGTATTGTGACTGTAATAGGTTTCAGGGAAAAAAAAAGTTTTCTATACAGGACATTGTACTTATCTCTTACCCTTCCTTCAGTTCTTCCCTGCTTTTAACTAATAATTGGGAGACAGAAACAATTTTTTAAATGGTCCTCCTTACTCAAGATTTTGAAATTCTTGGCCTAGGTGGGGCTGAGGAGAACTTGATGTGTCCTCCAGAATGAAGAATCCCAATTTGTATATCAGTGTTAAGAAGAAAACAAAACACTTAGATGAGATTTTTCATGGACTATTTTAAAAAATGTGTCATTAATATAAAAAATTTATATTAGCAGTATTTAATCATTCTCACCTGTAAAGAATAAGAAAAACAGAAGGTAAATATTCTTACAGAGAATAGCAGAGCTTTAAGATTCATTTTCAAGTCCATTTTGTTTTGCCAATGTATTAATGTTAGAGGTCTGTTACACTAATGTTATTTATTAATTTTTTTCATTTCCATATACAATTAACTAAAGAGCTTTTTCAAGCACTCATGTCTGTAAAAAAAAATATTTTTAAATAAAGTTTCTTTTATCGTAGCTGACTTGAACTTTTGCTCATTTGGGGCTAGGAGATGCTATATGTATGGGTCAGCCCTGGGACCAGCTGCCAGGGCAAGTACTACTGACGTGAGGCATCACTCCATGACAGAACGTGTAAAAAGTGACACAGCCCCAGCCAGCAGGCTGCCAGACCCTGTGTGCAGCTGAGAAAGAGGGAAACCGGACCCATCTGTGCAGAAACGGAACCCTGGGTCCCTGCAGCTGACTCCAGTGCAGTCTACATTCTTTTTGGTGCAGCTGCTGATCAGAGTACCCCAGGTGCCTTTGGTACTGGTGATGATAGGAAGCAGTGAGATTCCTGGCACAATTAAGCTTTATTTTTCTTAATATATATAAAAGGAAACCGTTTCCAAATGTACACACAAAACCATATACATATATATATATACACATACACATACGTGTAGGTACACATAGACATGTCCCCAAGCTCTGGCCAGGCCCTTTTTTTTTTTCTTTTTTTTTTGTACCGGGGATCGAACAGGGACCTTGCACTTACGAGGCAGATGGTGGCCCCACTGAGCTAAATCTCCAGCCCAGGCCCTCTTTTTTTCAATCCCGAAGTACCATTCTCCCATTTGGGTCTTTCTAGGGTCTGGGCCTGTTAGCTTAGTGTATAGATTTGGTGTGGTACAATTATAGTCCTGAACACCATGAAGGACAATGGGTGTCATCTTTGTCCCCAGCTCTCACCTTTCTCTCATATGGCCCCTCTGAAAGGGTGCTGAGAGCCGTAAGAATACAGGGGCCTTGGCTCAGTAGCTCCCTGTGGAAACGGCCCCACTTCCTCACTGCAGGGACAGATCTTTGAAGGAATGATACCAGTACATGGCTTCTGCCCAAAGGGAAAAAAATGTCACAAAAGCAACTCCAAAGAGGTGAGCAGGAAGACATCAGGACTCTGCGGCTGATTCTGGATAAGAGCTGGGTATTTTCCAGAGCCAGAGTGACACCAGGACAGCAAACAGATGCCTGGGCCTTCCTGTATCATATTAGGGGTGCGACTGAGTTACTGAAGCTTGAGCGGCCACTCTGCCCCCCTGCTGGTAGAAGAGGTATCTATAGCCACACCGTTGTAAGGAGGAAACTGAGAAACTCTCCTCCCCACCCTTAGGAGACTGAAGCCACTTCTTCACCCGAGCATCATTTGAGTGGCCCATTCCCTGAAAGGGGGACTCCAGGGCTGAGTGAGGTCCTTCTCAGGATGCATCTGGTCCTTAGCCACTGGGCCTCTGGATCTGGTCTGCAGATGAGGTGGAGCAGGGGTCTTCTCTGAGGTCCCTCTAGGGGCCTTGGGTGGGGAGCAGAGTGAGCAAGGAGCCGGAGAAATTCCAGGCAGGGTGGGAGCTGAATGGGATTCAGGCTAATGCTTCAGATCGATGTATTTCTCTCCCTAAAAATGGGCAGAGAGGAGTAGTAAGGGGAATGTGGGTTCAAGGTGTGAGCACTAAGGATGAACTCTGGAAGCTGATGGACTCTGCAGCAGCCCGGAGGGAAGAAGCAGGGATAGGTATTGGAGGCCAGAGAAGGACAGGTGGTTGCCAACTCTGCCTCAGTGCTAGCGAAATGGAAGCCACACTTCAGACTTGATGGCCACAACCATAGGCTTGTTTAGAAAAATCTAACAGGATGGAGGATTTGCTTTGTCTTCCTCTGGGGTCCCTCTGCCCCTTGCCTTGCCTGCTGTGAGTAGTGTTAAGAAGACAAGAAGGGCCTGTTCCCTCTCTTAACCAAGCAGGAGGAAGGCAGAAAGAGTTAAGTGTTCAGGGAATGAGCACAGTTGCCCCTGTTGCGCCCACTCCCTGAAGATACATTAGGCACCGGCCCCAGGAACTGCCTCCTACCTGGTCTCCTGGAGCCCTCTTGTCACCGATGCTGCCCTGTAGGAGGCCCATCTCTTCTGGGAGTTTATCTGACTTAACTTCAACTACACATTCACTCTTACGAGACGGGGGCATCGTGCTGGGAGGAGGGAGGCAAGAGGTTGGCAACTGGGGGAAGGGAAGGAGAGGGCCCACTGGGAGGGGGGCTGCATGGATGACACTTTTTGGTACTCTGGGGCCAGCTCAGGAAAGGAAGCTGATAATTTTTGGAGGTGTGATTGTTGGCAGCTGGGTAGCAGGCATGAAACAGGGATTGCTACAACCCAAGGTCCCTCCACTGCTCTCAGGGATAAGGGGCGCTGGGACAGGTTGGGGAATGTCCCTGAGGAGGCAGCAAGCCTGTCAGCAGGAAATGACAGCAGGTTGTAGGGACTCGGCCCGTGCTTACATCTCTTGTTTGCCTGACCGCCCACAGGGCAGTTTGCCCTTCTTGTAGAGGAAATAGAGGACAGCGCCCAGCACAGCCAGGACCAGGATACACACAATCACAGCCACAATGACTACGCCCTTGCTCTCCGGCTCTGGCAGCTTTCTCTCTGTGGCACAAAGATGCTTGGAGTTACCGCCTGCCGGGGCTGCCACGCTGACATCACAGCCCCACCCAGCTCAGGATGACAGGAGGTGAGCTGCTGCTACTCACCTCCTGAGTTGAGGGGATGGGGGCAGAAAGGGTGCCCAGCCCTTCTCTTGCCAGGCCCCACTTACCTGTGGAAGTGCTGTTGGCTCTGGCATGAGGACTGACTGTGGAGGTGCTGGGGCCAGCGGCTGTGCTGGAGTCTGGTGTGAGGGTGGTTAAACCAACTGGGAGGCAGAGGGGAGTTAGGAGAAGCACACGTTAAGGCCCACGCCTGGGCATGCCCTGCCATCCTCTGCAGGGAAGTGGCCCTCACCTCGAATCAGGAAGATGGTGGTGATGTTTCTGCCCAGGGAGTTGGAGGCCGTGCATTGTATGCCTGTCTCCAGCAGCTCTGGAGTCACAAGGATATTCACGGTGCTCACTACCCTCTGTGGGTCTTGCACTTGTTCACTTGCCTATGAGGAAGGAGAGAGCTCAGGAGGGTAAGAGTGGGCAGGGTCTCCAGCATTCACAGCGTAAAGCCTGGGCAGGGGTCAATCAGAGCTGGGACTGCTCACCGTGCCATTGACATTCCAGGAGATAGTGGGCCGAGGGTACCCTGATGCCTCACATGACAGATTCTGCATTGTGTCTTCTTTCACCCACACTTTCCTCTCCTTTAATGCCATCCACGGGGGCCCTTGGGAAGCAAAGTCAGGAAGAGTAAAGGAGCACATTTGCTTAGGCATCCTCCTCCTCCCCCAGGAGCTCCCAGACAGTGGGTGGCTTTTTGGCCTCAAAGAGCTCGAAACCACTCAACTTGGGATGATTTGGTCTCTACCCCAGGGGCCTCACCAAAAATGGCCACGTTGACCAGCTGTGTGCGGTTCAGGCCAGGTACGCTGGGCACAGATGCCACGCAGCGGTAGCCACCCCCTGCCTCCCGTTTCAGGCCAAGTAACTGAAGTGTAGGCCCCTCTTCCAGCACCTGGCCTGTCTAGGGGGAGAGGTGGGTCAGAAGGTTGGGAAGCAGTAAGCTCTTGTCACAGAGCTTACAGAGTCTCAGAGTTGCCTGGGTACCTTTTCTCTCAGCCACTGGAATGCGAGGGCCTGGTTACTCTCTGCCTCACAAGTCAGTGTGAGGCTGCCACCTTCCTGGCCCTCAGGGGCTGCAGGGCTCACTCGAACATCGGACACATCTGGAGGCACAGCAGTAATGTCAGCCTGGGCAGGGCAGGGCCTTTTCTGTCTTGACCCAGCCAGGTCCCCCTGTCCTGGGCCCCCAGCCCCTCACAGTTCACCAGAAGCTTCTCGGTGTCACTTGACAGTGATGTTATGTCTTCCAAGTCCAGGCCCTGACACTGGTAGACCCCACTATGCTGCTTCTGGGCAGGCTCCAACACCAGGATGCCATTGTCAGGAGTTTCCTGTTCCTCCATCTCCCCAGTGCTTGGATTCTGGGAGGGGATGGAGGGGTAAGTAGAGTGCCCCAGCCACTCCCCTGCATCCCTTCCTGTGCCACTGTGCCCAACCTGGAGGGCTCCACACCTTCTTGTTGATGGTGAAGTGGGGTGCAGGGTTGCCGTCAGACAGACACCTGATTTCTACTCGGTCCCCTTCCTTCAGCATTCCCACAGGCTCCACTTCCAACCACAACCTTTCTGCAGGGTCTGCACGCACAAAGGAAAGTGTTCTCAGCCCAGGAAGTAGCCCGAGACTGGATGGGCCTGGGCCAATGGGAGTTACCAGGTCCACCCCAGCGAGCAGAAGGCTAGGTAGTACTCACAGAAAACAGGGACAGTGACTTCCCTAGATTCTTTCATGTGGTTCCCGCTGGGTAGCCGGTAGTTGAGCTCACAGTAAAACTGGGCATCCTTGTCTTCCTTAACCAGCTGTGCCTTCAGGATACTCTTCAAGGTATACAAGCCACTTGACTCCACAATCTGTGATGACTGAATGTGGATTCCTGGGCAGGGAGGGGAGGAGCAAGGCTCAGCCTCAGCCCCACCCTGTGGTCTCCAGGAAGGAAGGCTGGCGGGGGGCCATCTCAGGACCCCGGTCCTATAGACAGGTGTGATGAGGCACACCTGTAACCCCAGCACTCTGGGAGGCTGAGACAGGAAGATTGCATGTTAGAGCCCAGCCTGGGCAACTTAGCGACTCAACAAAACTCTATCTCCCAAAATAAAAATGAAAAAGGGCTGGTGATGTAGCTCAGTGTGAAGATCCTGGGTTCAACCCTCAGTACCATGAAAAAAAAAAAGGAAAAGGAAAGACCCCTGTCCATGCAGAGGACCAATGTCAAATGCAAGGAGGTGACTCTTGAAGTTTGTCTACCCTAGACAAACAAAGGCACACAGTGCGTCAAAGGTGTGGGCCAGAACGGCTATAGCGATGAAGAAAATAAGAGTGCTGAGGGTGTGGCTCAGGGCAGAGCATATTCTTAGCATGTGCAAGGCCCTCGGCTTGCTCTCACACCATCCTCCCCACAAAACAGCCAAGATGAGGGGCTAGGGATTTAGCTCAGTGGTGCAACTGCCTACTTCACAAGCACAAGGGCCTGAATTCAATCCCCAGTACCCTCCCCCTCAAAAATGCCAAGGTAAGTAGAAAAATGAGAAGCAGTTGAGATGTGAAGCACTAGCTGGAAAATGGTTACTTAAACATCATAATACACACAGTCTGCAAAACTGAGCAGTAGGCAAAGCAAGCAGGTACATCTGCATAGACTTAGCAGAAAAGATGACACAAAGTGAACTGTACAGCAATGTACACCACCATTACCACTGAGGTCAGGGTTTCTCCACCTCTGCACTATTGGTGTTCTGGGCCAGAATTAATTCTTTGCAGTGGGGCTGACCTGTGCAATGAAGGGTGTTTAGCAGCATCCTAGCTTTTACTCACTGGTGCCAGGAGTACCCAATGGACTTGTGATAACCAAAACACCACAGACACTGCCAAGTATCCAAGGGGCAGTGCAAAATCACCTTGGTTAAGAACCACTGATCTATTTGTATGTCACTTAAAAGGCTGAGATAGGGCTGGGGATTTAACTCAGTAGTTCCACTGCCTGCCTCGCAAGCACATGGGCTTTTGGTCCCTGGTACAAAAAAAGGCTGAGATAGGAAGATGATGACTTTGAGGCCAGCTTGGGGTATATAGCAAGTTCAAGGCTGACTGGACTACAAAGCAAGATCCCATCTACACACACACACACACACACACACACACACACACACACACACACAACACAGGTGCCTTGTATTATAGAATATAAATGAAATACTAACAAGTTTGACTTTAAAATATTAATCCTTAAACACAGAGCCCAAAATAACTCAATTTTAATTATCTTCTATACTTTTTCTGCAATGATTATTATTTGTGTTTTTAATAGAAATATGTAGGGCCTGGGATTTTAGTTCAGTGGTTCCACTGCCTGCCTTACAAGCACAAGGAGTTCAATCCCCAGTACCAAAAAAAAAAAAGAAATATGTGTTTGGATGCATTCTTTAAAATTTCCTTCATCTAGTTTTGATTCCTTTTTCTTTGATTTTAAGGAATAAAAAATACATAAAAGTACAGAGAATAATGTCAAAGACATGCCAACATTCATACATGTACAAACTTAATGACTTCATGTATGTTCTTTAATTGTATGAATTAATAAAATGGATTATCCACCAAATGCACACACACAGAGCCGGGCATGGTGGTCCAAGTTTATAATCCTAGGACAGTGGGAGACTGAGGCAGCCTGGGTAACTCGGTAATTTAGTGAGACTCTGTGAAAGTCAAAAAGGGATTGGGAGTTTGAACCCCAGTACAAAAAAAAAAGGGATTGGGATGTAGCTCAGCTGTGGGTTTAAGCCCTAGTACTGAAGAAATATTAATTTATATTTGTGAATATATATACAGAAATAGGTCTGAAGGAATTCACTAATAATAGCAGAGGTTACTTCTGGGGAAAAGGTAGAAAGAGACTCCTAGCTTTTCTACAGTGTCTAAATTCTTACAAAAATACTAGCAGTCATCACACAATTTCTTTTTAAAGTAAAAGCTGAAAAGAAAGGCAAAGTGGCCCCTGTGTGGTACCACAAGTAAAAAAAGATCACTCACGGTTCTTCTCCTCCTTCAGGGCTTGCCTGTTCTTGTACCAGATGACCTGAGGGAAGGGGTAACCATTCCTCCCCACACAGGTGGCGACCTAAGAAGGACAGTGTATGAGTACCCTGCCTCTGACACCAGCCCCAAGCCCAATGTTAGCCCTGCCCCCAGCAGAGCTTACCTCCTCCAGCTCGTGGTTGTTCACAGAGATGCCGTTGGTACTGATATGGATGGTTGGCTCCTCTGGAGCTTCTACAAGGGAAAGGAAATGAACAGGATCCATGAGACCCCACTTCCACAACCCACACTGCATCAGTGGCAGGAAGGGGGCAGGGAACTAACTCACTGTAGACACGGAGCTGGATGCGGTGCTCCTGGGACCGAGGGCGCTTGCTCTGGCACAGGAAGACTCGATCATCATGGGGGGTGACCTGAGTCAGGACCAGGGAGGCCCCTGGGCCCTGGAGGCTGAGGCGGTCGTGATACTGGCCAGGTTCACTCTGGCCCTGGCCCTGGCGTACACGGAAGATGAGTGTCCGCTTTTCCTTGTGGATCTGAGGGGAGGGGACAGAGAGTTGAGGGTGCTGGGACTACCTGGGGGCAGAGCCTCCCACCTGTGCCCCTCCCTGGGGAGCCATGGCACTCACAACAAACCAGTCCACATAGCTGAGGTTGCCTGAGGAGTCCAAGGGGCACCTCAGAAGGGCTGAGCTGCCAACTTCCACCTCTACCAGCTCGGGTGTGGGCTGCTCTGCCTCTCCAGGCACACCTGGGGTGAAAGAGGGGGCAGCCCAGCAGCTGTGTCAGCTCCAGCTACTCTTCGTTCCCTCCCCTCACACCACTCACTGCAGCTGTTCAGCCACTGGGAAGGTCTGGAGAAGGCCTTGCCCTGTCCTAGCACCCGACCTCACTGCCCACCCTCTCCAGTGCAGGGTATCCTTGGTCCTTGCAGCAGAGACTGAGAACTGGGAACCTCCTGGCAGAGGCTGGCAGAGGGGCAGAGAGGGACAACTCTGGCTCAGAGCCAAGAGGAAGGCCCCTTTCCTCCTGAGCCCCCTCCCCTCCTCTCTGAGTGAGCTCAGAGTGTGAGAATGCAAGGCATGTGCCAGGCTGGGCACACAGGCCCCTTTGTGTCCCACCCCCAGTAGAAGACGTCACTACTCTACCCTCTGCCCCCAAAGTCCCCTCCCTAAGTCCCCCAGAAGACCCAGTGGGTAACTATGGCCAGAAGCATTGAGAGTTCATACTCTCAATGAACATTTGCACACTGGGAGTCTGGTAGTACAGAGGGGTCAGAGTCTCCCCCAGGGGTCAGGGCCACAGCCAGGCAGTGGGCAGGAGTGACGTCAGTGGTGCCAGCATGTTGCCAGCTCTGTGAGAAGGTGATGTCACTGGACACCATCTGCCTGGACCCTGGGATGCCTGGGTTGTTGCCCTGGGCTGGCTTCCAGGCAGGAAGGGCAGGTGGAGTGGTCTCCAACCCATAGCAGAGGCCTCCATCCCTGACTCTGTTTTCCCAGACCTAGGACAGCAGGGCATGATGGGGCTGGACCTGCTGCAGCATGGCACCGGATTTAGCCCTTTCCCCAGAAATAAGGTCAGCAGGAGACTGGAGTGCCCCAGGGACCTGGTTGGCAGGGCCTGAGCACTGGAAGCGGGTAATCCCCAGCCTTCCTCTCCCTAGCCGAACAGCTCCTGGGACAGGGGTAAGGAGTTAGGAGGCATGCGTCAAGCTGTCGCGGGCTCTACGAGAGCAGCAGGGATCTGGAGCTACTAGGCTTTTCCAGAGAAAAAGCTCCAAGGAGTCCTGGCTCTATTCCACCTGACAGTGGTCCCCGAAATAAGTTTGCAGGCGTTTTCACTCTGGAAAGCCTCCATCTCTCGACTTTGCCACCTGTGATCCTGTCTCACACACACACACACACACACCCCAACCTCATGAGGCTCCAGGAGACCCACACCGCCTGCAGCCGCTGCCAACGCCCAACCGGGCGGGAGCGGCGTC